CTCTTCCGTTTTTATGGCGCCAATTTTCCTCCACGATATTGCAAGAACGTCTCAGCGACGCTTTCCCGCTTCGTTTCAACGAAACGAGATTTATCCGTCTTCCACGGAGAAAATTCATGATCGATCTCTCTCTATATATATTTTCATCCGTCTTCCACCCTCCGTTTCTCGAGTTCCAGCTCTTAATGATGTCCCGGTTCCTCGCCGAATTTTCATTCCTCGCCGCGCGTCGCGCCCATTAATCCTCCACCCCCCTGCCGCGAGGAGACGCGGAGACAGAAACTGTTCCGGGCCACTCGACGTCGAAATTGCGCTAATTCCGATGATTTACGCGGGCAGGGAAAGCGGCCTGTCCGGAAAGACAGGTACAAATACACAGGACCGTTCTAATTCGCGGGCAGCACGCGAGCACGCGTGCGTGCCCTCCGTGGCATTCATGAACTTTCCTTCTCCGTGCTTCTCCGCCCTTTCTTCTTCTTCTGTTTGTTTCCAGCCCCTTGTTGTATTCCTCCTTAATTTATCTTCCAGTAACAACCGCTCCCGCTGACTTCCACCGCCCCCGCCGCGCGTGCAACTTTGCCCGCTGTGGAAAAATCTCGGCCACTCGACCACCCCCTATTCCCGGTCGGAACGGTGGCCGTTTCTCGCTGCAGAAACGAGAGAAGTTCGTCGCCAACGTCGATACTCTCGTTCGTATCGTTAAGACAACGTTCCCTTGATTTTCCTCGATCGACTTTCTCGCGAGTACGCATAGCGATGTCGCGAGGACGACGAAGACCGTAGGACGTGTAGAGATTGGATATCAGAGTTGGGAATAGCTGTTGGCGAGAAGCAACGTGCGATGATTCGCAGCGCGATGACTAGATCTATCGTGTGAAGACGTGTTCGTTGGTTGGTAATTCCTTCGATTACTAGGATGTCGGCGTGCGTCCGAAGATCCTGCCGATTTCAGGCGGCCATTCTACGACGACGCGGAGAGGACAGACGGCGGCTCGCGGCATAGAATCCCCGATTTTCTGATCGACACATTCCGCGGCAGCGAAGACGCTTCCACGGCATCCGAATAATCCTCCGTAGGATCGTTGCGCAGCCAAATGCCTCCGGTCGGGCGTAGACACGCGCTGGATGCGGTGCTCGAGCGAATAGCTTTTGCTGGCGGCGCTGCCACTGGCATTCGTGCTGCCGCTGCTGCCGTTGCTGTTGCTTCGCTCGTTGTTGGCCAGCGGGGAACAATGGGTCGCGACGGCTAGGTCGCCAGGTTCTGCAACACACAATGACACGCAATGATGAACGATGCCTGCTGCTCTCTCGACTCTCGTTAAAACGGTTAAAACGCCTAGTGCGTGAAACACGCGATTTCAGCCTCGACTGGTCCCTGTCTCTTTGTTTCACGCTCTCCCTCTTTCTCTTTATTGTATTTCTTTTTTTTTTTTTTTTGGACGCCTCTTTACGTGTGCGTGTGGGTGTATGTGTGTCTTTTTTTTTTGATTCGTTCATCCAGGTCGTTTTTTCCTTCGTTCCGTACCGAGTCAGCTTCCCCGAGCATTGTTCGGGAATTAAAGGGACGAATTCCACACATGTGCAGCGGACAAAGGGAAATCGGCCTCTAATTTCGCGCGACAATGTCCGTTAACGAGACGAAGAATTCCGATCGTCGACGAAATATCGCGCACCCGCCTTTGGAGTTGATAATTCTTCGCCTCTTTCGACCAGGCGAATGGAAATTCGTCCGAGGACGGTCATGATCCTTCGAACCGAGGAGAACCACGAAGAATAGCCATTCCGTTGCTTAACCACGAGACAAAGGGGTAGAGACTTCCTCTCCGTTATAGAAGACCAGGATTAAACGCAGGGGATCAAAGGAATTCGGAATAGGTCATTTACTTCCATATTCGATTTATTTCCATAAATTAACTCGCAAAAAAATATCGCGCTACAGATGCAGCGTTTCAACTCCAGGGAGGCTCCTTTGATCCTCGACGTGTACCGATATTTACAGCCTTAAACTTTCGTCGCAGGCTCGAGCAGAAGGCGCGAGGTTACTCGTCTGACCATACGCGTTCTCGTTTCCCTTGCGTCTTCCGCTCGCGACTTTCGCGACTCCCGCAGACCGATCCCTATCAGGCCACGCGAATTTTTGTCACTGAACGCTGTTTCTCCGTATCCGAAACACGACGTTCTTAATTCTCCGACGCGATTATCGAGCGAGAACGACGCGACGGGAATAGCACGGGCAAAAGTTGGCCGTCGAAGGAAAAACGACCACGACCACGACACGACGGAGTACCGGGAATGGAGAGATCGTGATACGACCGGTCGTCGACTAATTTTACAGCGGCGCCGCGGTGCAGATGAAAAACGGACATCCTATAAATCCTTCATGGTCGCGTGCGTCCACGGATACGAAGATCTCTGTTGCCGATCGCAATTTGCGCGATCCCCGATATTGCTACCGGCTCGTTTCGCGTCGTGAGATATTAACGCCAGGCCAGCGACCCCCTCTTCCAATCCCCCATTCCTCTGCCGCCTCCACCTCCGCTATCTGCCTCGATACCTGCTACTACTCGCATCTCCGTTTCCCGTCTACCCCATTCGGCATATATCGAGTGCGTCTCTGGTGTTCCCGAATTAACCGTAGCGGACCGATCTGCGGTGGGTCAAAGTTCTATCATGGACTGTACGCAATCAGCTGCTAATTGGGAAATGATTGGAGCCACCTCCGTCGATGGTATCGTGCCTCTAACTACCCCTGGTCGTCGAATAACCCCCACAGCCGATATAAATGCCCCCATAAATGCCACAGCGACGTTTGCACACGAGACATGAGCCCGAATCGTGGCACGGCACTGCGAATACACATGCTCCGAGCGAATTCTACTTTCTGTCTCTCTCTCTCTCTCTCTCTCTTTCTCTCTCTCCCTCTCTCTCTCTTTATACATACTTCTCGCGAAAGCTCGCAGCGTGCCCCTTTTTCACAGAGCGGAAGGGTTTTCGCCGTTTTTGCCCTTTCTTCCGTGCTTTTTCTCTCCACGAGTGTGTAACTTCGTGAAAGATCAGAGAACGAGAATTAAAGAAATTCCTTTGAACATGGACGTCCAAAGGGCCGCGCTCTCGGAATACGTAATTGACATAAATATTTACCATCGCGCGGCGGCAGCGTCGCGAAATATCCCGTGTCCCGGGTTGCTGATTTTTCCGTCGATAAATATTTTATGAGGCCGCTAATCAAACGAGGGGTAGGACTGCCATCCGCTCCTCTCGTTCCCGCTGAACGTAGGGGTTGAGTGGGGAAAAAAAAAGCGCCCCGATATCGGAAAATTCGACGAAAGCCCTCGAATCGTTTAAAGGATACGCCGATGCGTTCGTAGAAATTTCAAGCAATCCTCTCCGACAGCCTAACATATTCGACTCATGAATTCTTAACGAGCTGCCGCCGCGGAAGGAGAAAGTACCGCGACTTGTCTTCGGCAACCCTCCTTTATAAACGAATTCCCGGAACGAGCAGAGGGTACGGGAAACGAAGCAAGCAGGAAAGAGACGAGGAAAGAGAAAAGACGAGAGCAGGGAAGAGAAGACCGAAGAGAAAAAGGAAGAGAGAGAGAGAAAAAAACGAAGACGAGGGACAAGCGCGTCCCCGTGTAGACACGACATTAACCTTCGTTACGCGTGTTTGAATTTCTCTACAACGACGAGGCAAGGGAGAACGGGAGTTTCTAAAGGGGAGAGCGATAGCAGCTGATCACCGTCTCCTCGCTGCAAGCTTGGAAAGGAGAGAGCAGCGTAAAACTAATTGCGGCGGACGGCGCGCCTTCTCCACGCTTCCAACCCCTCTGTCCTATCGTCTTCATCCCTCTCGGCCGTCTGTGAACCGACCGCCCTTAATAGCGTGCGGTTATTACAGAGGAACGACAGGCGGCGCGATTATACGCACCCCTTTCCCATTCCTTCCCATCAAACCCCTTCGTTCCTAATTTTCACCTATTTGCCCCGGCTGAACGAACTTCCTTCGTCGAGTGGAAACTCGACGATGCAGCTTCGCGATCACAGTCGAGATCACGGAGTCTGAGCGCGGGAACTCGCGCGAGTCGAGAAGAGGGGCAAGGAAAGAAGCGATGGAATCGTTTAGACGAAGCTAAGGTTTGCGAGATTCGAGATTGCGTTAAAATACATCGGGCACTCTAAGATATTGCGCTGATGAATCTGACAGAGGCTGCATGCTCGCGCGTGCATGAATCACCGGCGCGCAATCATTTTAGCGACGGAGCGAACGCTGCGTGCTCCTTTTGTCCCGCACGATGCTCGTCCGACGTGTTTCCCGTTTCCCGGCAGAGTGTTGTCGCGTGAATCTTTCGGGAGAACTCCTGCGGGCCTCCAAAGGAACCGATGAATCGTCTTTGAGAAGCGATACCTGCTATCGCATCGAGCGGATTTTTCCGATAATTTTTACCACCCAAAAACCCCCCCCCCCCCCCCCATCGCTCCGTTTCCATTTCTACCTTCATTTCTCCCCTTGTCATTTAACGCGATACACATGCATTTAAATTTCATCCCCGTGTATATTTTTATTTTCCGACTTGTCGTTCGACGTTGTTAATTGCTCAGCCTGAGAAATTATCGAGTTCGAGAAGGAACTCTTGAAAAAATTTCTACGGAAACTTTTGCTTAATCGTAAATCACACGCACAGGCAATGTGTTAAAATAACGATATTCCTGCTAATTCCTAACTGTTGTACTTATCGGTGCAAACTTTACGGGTTGATTATAAGTAAAAAGAACTGCTGCGAGGAATTTCAACTCGCGAACAAGAGAGAGCAAATACTAGCAAGTTTCGCCAACTTCTGAATTAAAATATGTCTTCTTTATGATTTATCTGATCGATAGGAAGCGTATTTCAGTTTGCACCGGTATAGAGGACACCTAGTTAAAATTTGTTAGAATTCGTTATGAGGCAGGTTTGAACTTTAGCCGGCCAGTTAGTTAGTAATTGCACACTTCCAAGACGCAGCGGAACAAGTTTTGTCTTTCTGCTACTTTCTCTCTCGCTCTCATCATCACTTTCCATTCGTCTTCTTTCCTGCGATTTACGCGAAATTCACCGAGGATCCACTCCGGCGAGAACACTCGCGAAATGGGTCCGATGATTATCCGGGAAATTAACTTCTACATTCTGACAAGCGTTCCGTGGCTAATTATTTTTTCCCAAGTTACGGTATTCCAAGTCGACCAACGGGTAAACAAACTTTCGCGTTCCAGCTGGTTTCCGCGTATATGCAAATTGCGTTCTTCCATATTTAATTAGAATTTAATTGTAGTCAGGATAGACGGAAACATTCGTTTGCCGGAAATAGACGAAATAGATTCGCAGATTTAATCGTACGTTCAACCATCTCCGGTGCCTTCGAGTTCACACTCCGTTTGCTCCGCGTGACCATGATTTTCGAATAAAATATTATATCAAGAACGTAAAAGTGAAGTCGGAGTTCTGCTAATGCAATTAGAGGATCCCTTCGCGCGACAAATTTTCTTCGTAAGTGATTTTGCCGTAACGTACGCGACGCCAATTTTCCGAATGTATAGTTCGTATCGTTCAGACGTGATAGCTCGTGGAAATAGATTCGCGGCGTTTCGAAAAATTTCCGAGTTCAATTCTCCCCGTTTAATTATGCATTCGTACGTTACGACGCGGATTCGGCGATTATTTCTGCTGGTCTGCGCGCAATGTGTTCGCATGCGTTATCTAATATAAGGAAAGAACGAGTCACAAAGAGAAAGCGTTTGCTCGTCAACGCAAATGATCGTCTGGTACAACCGGCTCCCAAGACATTCCCTGAAATCCTGATCTTTGCTCTGCGCAACGCTGCAGCGATATTTGCGGACGAAGGACTGAGGTTTCATTTGGTCGAAACAGTCCTCGCGACACCAACAAGTACGACTAGCAGGATATGAGATTGTAGCGCCAACTGTGCTCACCTCTAACAAGGTTTCACCAGGCCGATAGATACCGCGGTGTCTGTCGCGACTGCACGTTCCCTAGGCAGCGTTTCGACGAGTCTTGCCACGGGGTTATAGACCAGGGCGAAGGGGTTGCTAACGGATATAATCGCGCAGATAACGCATTTAGCCGTTACAGACGGGAAGCGTTTAATTGCCCAAATTGATATCGCGTTGCGCCCCGAACGAACCGCCTCTCGCTTAAATATGCCCGTTGCTCTCCTCCGATGGTGTCACCCTTTCACTCCCGAGGATATTTCGGTCTCGCGA